TAAACAGAGTGATGTGGTGTATGCAATTAAGTGTAGTCAGGAGTGTAACGACTTGTACATTGGTGAAACTAAGCAGCCGCTTCACAAATGCATGGCCCAACACAGGAGGGCCAACTCCAGTGGACCAGAGTCAGCAGTCCACCTCCACCTGAAGGACAAAGGACATTCTTTTGAGGACAGTGAAGTCCAGATCCTCTCCAGAGAACATCGCTAGTTTGAGAGAGGAGTTAAGGAAGCTATTTTTGTAAAAATAGAACACCCCTCACTAAATAGGGGTGGTGGACTAAGACACAACTTGTCTTCCATCTACAATCCTGTTTTGAGATCTCTGCCCAAACATGCCCACCAGGACAATAGGCGTCGGTCGACAGGGGAGGATTCAAAGACAGGTAACGACTCTCACCGATACTGGGCTGTAACGACTCAGTCGTTAAGGGACATTGTTGGGCATCAAAGGACTGAAACACCACCGAGGGGGATAAATATCTCTGACTCAACACCAGTCAGTCAGAACTGATGAAGCCTCTTGGATGAGAGGTGAAACGTCTTCGACCTAGAAATCTAGTCCAGTTGATTTTTTCTAAGGTCATTTCGGTTTACTATGACCTGGATGACTGAGAATCTGCACAGACACACTGAGTGTTTCTGTAAGTCCAGGTCATTCTAAACAACATCTCCATTCTTGTTCCAGGTTTGCTAACACCTGACTCCAAGTGACCTTTAGTGACATCAGAAGCCTGGTGCTGCTGTGGCTTTGTCCACCATCATATGTTTAATAGGTTTGTTTAATAAAGATCTGAAAGATCAGGATTGTTTGTGTTTTATCATCTTAGAAATGTTGTGACTTTGGTGAAGATCAGATCACATTTTATGTCCAGTTTATGCAGAAAACCAGGAAATTGCAAACAGTGCCATGACTTTTATTTGTGAGTGTGGATGTGCCTGGTAGTGAGGCTTCAAGACCAGGGAGAGAGACAGGATTCAGGACCACGGAGAGAGGCAGGATTCAGGACTAGGGAGAGAGACAGGATTCAGGACCATGGAGAGAGGCAGGATTCAGGACCACGGGCAGCGACAGGATTCAGGACCACTAACTGAGGCAGGATTCAGGACCACGGAGAGAGGCAGGATTCAGGACCAGGGAGAAAGGTTGGATTCAGGACCACTAACTGAGGCAGGATTCAGCACCACGGACAGTGACCGGTTTCAGGAAGGGCGTGTGCACCTCTCTGTGCCCCCGTGTTTATGGCTGTGACTAGTACAACCTAATGAGCAGTATGAGCTGACATTACTCTAACCGTCTCCCAGCTGGTTCAAATATTATCAATCGGTTCTTATCACACCCATAGTTTTGGGTCAGTAGGGCCAAGCTGCACCTACCAGTCAGCCAGAAGGTGCATTTCATTGATATGTGTTAGAATTAGGCAACATCTATCAGGTGTATTGATTATGACAGGAGAGACAAAGACCATTGGTGACGTATAAAGAGTGACAAAGTCCACGTAGGGAGGAAGTCTGGGGAGATTGTTTCCTGTTTCGACCTGACCTGGCGCCGTTGAATTAACCAGAGCACTAGTCTTGAATTCACGTGGTCATTAACACACACCTTAGACCATTTTTATGACATTAAATTTTGAGAAGCAGCTATATCACATGCTCACTGCTCCATTCACCCTCTCTCTGTTAGTATTTCCATTTCTTATTTTGGCAGTTTGTTTTCTCTGTCTTAAGCTCTGCCACTTTCCCCTGAGCTCTGTTGTCTCTCTCTGCCTTCAAGCATCACAGAAAGTAGGTCACATTATGGAAAGAGGCTCAGTGAGATCCCTTCACTTTAGCCTAACATCATGTGGAACAATGCCCTTATGTCAGATTTAATCATCACAGACTGACCTGCTTCAGAGGGTCGCAGACTGACCCCACGCTGCTTCTCAGGGACACTGGTCCAGTGTCCCTCCTGGACCCGTCATGCCTTAATTAGACATCTATTAAAGAAGGATGTGACTGAGACAGCTACAGCTGCTTACCAGCACTGTCCTGCACAACAATCAGTAGCTGATCAGTGTGCGCAGCAGGTGGTCCAGTCAGAGCAGGACTGAGACTCCTGACAGTGCTGTCAGTGGTCCATCATTGTCTTGTCAGTCCTCATGTGCAGCATGCAAATATGAAACCTGCAAAGATCCAAAGGAATTGGACTGAGGCGGTTGCCTCGCCCTGACCTGATCATTCACAGAAACCAGGCTCTTTCTGCTCCACAGGAGTGCTGAGGCAACATGAGAGGGAGGGAACAGTCTAATTACTGGAACGAGGCCTTGTTTACAGTTGCATGGATCCTAACCTGTCCCCATATCTGGAGTGTCCCCCAAGTCACTGCTCAGAAGAGGACATTTACTTAGTGGCAACACAGCTGCAGCGTGACCAGCGTTAAACTGATATTGTACTGTAGCAGCTACAGCGGCACTACAGCCACGTTAGGAATCCGTTAAGGCCGTTCAGATGGGAATCGGTGCACATTAAAGTCAAAGCAAAGTGGATGTGAATTTGTCTTGTGCCGTTTGTCAGCGGGTGCTAGTTGGTGCAGTTAGCGATGGAGGAAAATGAATGTGCTTCATAACATCTTTCCCTCGATGCTGTGAGCTGATGGGTGGTGTTGCCACTAAGCTTCATAACAGAAGCAATGGGAGGATGAGTTACGTAACGACGTGAGGACGTGGGGATGAAGATCAGGAGTAATGTGTCCTGATTATGAGACCTGTAGCTGCAGAGGTGGACGTGATCTGTTGGTCTGCACCTCTGTGTCACTCAGGACATTTCACTGTGCCGACCCTGAACCAGTGGTGATTATCAGAAAAGAATGACCAGTGAAGCAGTGTCTTGTTCTCTGTTCAACAGAGTGTGTGACGAGTCACGTGTGTGTGGTTATTGCTCCGAACAGCTCCGTTCACACATGACAACACATTGACAGCATTCACCTGCAAAATGTCACCACCAGCTACAAAGAGACCGAAAGGACGACAAGGCAGCGACCACACAGAGGGAAACAAGTACAGAGGGACACACAGTGACCACACAGCGACCACACAGTGACCACACAGCGACCACACAGAGGGAAACAAGTACAGAGGGCCACACAGTGACCACACAGAGGGAAACGAGTACAGAGGGACACACAGTGACCACACAGAGGGAAACAAGTACAGAGGGCCACACAGCGACCACACAGAGGGAAACGAGTACAGAGGGACACACAGCGACCACACAGAGGGAAACGAATACAGAGGGCCACACAGCGACCGCACAGCGACCACACGGTGACTCCAAACATTTTGTGTGTCGGTCTGTATGCTATCTGACACTACGGGTTTTAACAGACTGTCACTGATTGTGTATATGGGGGAGGAAGTAGAGGGTAGCTTCTCCAAAGAGAAAATACTTTCACAATAAGACTGGAGTGTGAGCTTGAGGAGAAACTTTGAGGGAGAATTCACCACTCACAACATGTTACACGAGGAATAGAAAGCGCCGAGCGAAGCGGGTGTGATTGATGAGAACTAGTTTCCAGATGTGTGTGGGTATGAATTTTCCCCTTTACAGCTGAGATGGAGACGCTGATCTGGTCATAAAGACGGGGTGTGATTAAAACCTGTCGAAGCAGCATCAGCACTTTGTCACTGGTTTCTCTTCTAAGTCTGTGTCTGATTCACATCGCCTCTTGCTGACTGTTCTGTCCTGTCACTCCACAGCCGACCTGCTGGTGAACACGCTGTGCCTCCCCTTCACCCTCGTCTACACGCTGCAGGGGGAGTGGAAGTTCGGCAGCGCCCTCTGCATCCTGCTGCCCTACGCCCAGGGGCTTGCCGTGCACGTCTCCACGGTGACGCTCAACGTCATCGCCCTGGACCGCCACCGGTGAGTCTTGGGGTAGACGGGGCAGGAGTTGAGGGAAGCTGTGAAAAATTCAGCAGCTTTGCAGAGTCATGTTTAGTCCTCAGCTGGAAGGAGGGCGCTGCTTTGACTTTACTGTCACACAGCATGTAAGTAGTTTACTGAGGAAACAGTGGCATCGTAACACAAACAGGGTTTGGTATTAGGGTTACACAACAGCCTCTCACCTTCAAGCCCAGTCAGCGACATGATTCTGTCGGCCTGAGCCACAGTAGGTGGTGGAAGATTTTATCAGCTGTACAAATACAATCAGGCAAACTACAGGACTACTACCATCCAGTGTTTGATAGAGATGACAAACCAGCCAATGGGGTGAACATCAGGAGCCCAGGAGCAGGAGATGAACCTCAGACCCATTTCTCCCTTCCTCTGCTTTTTCACACCGCTCCCTCCTCTCTGTCCTTCTCCTTTGCTCCTCTTCCTCTCTCTCTTCCATCTTTGTTATGGGGGACCCCCCCAGCCCAGGAGCAGCCTCCAAAGCCACGCTAACAGCTGGTTCAGTTTACTGATAATGGCACTAGTTTGTCCAAATGAAACAGATGATGGCTAAAAATAACAGAGCGGTGAAAGAGAAGCAGACTGTAAAGTTCAGGGAACCTGCAGAGCCGCTGATCAATCTGTTATGTCACACAATTGATCCATTTCTGATACAAAAGTATCGATTGGTGCAGCTTTTAGAATCCTTGACGAAGGCACAGCAACATGGTCCTTACATGGAGTCTGAGGTTCAGTCATCGTTTCGTTTCCTGAGTTTGGTACAAGCCAAAATGCTGATGTTTCAAAATCTGCTCATATTTAACAAACTTCACTACAGAAACGTTGCCTCTACGCACAGTGTGCGACTAGCTGAGCAGTTATCACAGGAAACAGAGGTAGATTAGCACGAAGTGCAAGTGAGTCTGGCAGCGTTGTTTAAATCAAACATCAATATCAGTAAAGCACCACACAAAGAAACCTGCCCCACACACTCTCACAAACACAACAAAATGACAAATTAAGACATAAACTTTGTGCAGCACAGAACAGGACAGAAGCCTTTGACTCATACTTGTACAGAGGTCAGACCTCAGGTCCTCTCTCTGTATCAGCCAGGACTGACCAGGTCTCTGATCCACCCTGCACACAAACAGCCAGGCGGCTGCCGGGGCCCCACAGACACCCAGGCACAGCCGAAGCACACTGTGCCGCTCGGCCAGTTACGGGCTGTAAATTTACTGCTCTCTGAGAACAAGTGTAATGAGTTCAGAGGCATAAAACACCTGCAGGTTCACTCTGAGCTGTGGAAGCTCCAGTCCTAACCACTGTACCTGACTGTGCTGTCCCAGTTTGGACTGTAGACGGGTTTACAAGCTTTAAAAACAAAACATCTGTCTGACTTCTGTGGCTGACATGACCAAAACAGATCTGACAGCGCTAGATTTACTGGAATGTAGCAGGGCGGCACGGTGTCGCAGTGGTTAGTGCTGTCGCCTCACAGCAAGAAGGTCCCGGCTTCCTCCCATAGTCCGAAGACCTGCAGCTTAGGTTGACTGGAGACTCTGAGCTGCCCCTTGGAGTGAGTGGTTGGTTGTCTAAATGTCAGCCCAATGATGGACTGGCGACCTGTCCAGGGTGGACCCCGCCTCCTGCCCAGTGTCAGCTGGGATTGGCTGCAGCCAGGAATAAGTGGTAGAGATGATGGATGGATTGCTGCTCTTTAGCCTCTACCTGTTTTTGTATCACTGCTTTCAGTCAGGTTTCACACAGCTTTGTCAGAGTCCCAGTGAGGAGCCGGATCCCTGGTGACCTGTGGATCCTGGAGGAGACCAGGGTTCAGGTTCTAGCTTATATTTGTTGTGTTGTTGTGTGTTTCAGGTGCATTGTGTACCACCTGGAGACCAGGATGCGGAAGGACGTGTGTTTCGGGGTGATAGCGTTCACCTGGGTGCTGAGCGCTGTGCTCGCCAGCCCTCTGGCCATCTTCAGAGAGTACGGCTCCTTCACTCTGGAGCCTGGACACACCATACAGGTACACACACACACACACACACACACACACACACACCCCTGTAGGCCATGTGCATGTCAGCCCCTTCACTTCCCTCCTCACCCATCTCTGATCTTTGTGCTCGTTTCCCACTGCCCTCCACATCCCTCTCTTTCCCACGTCTCCGTCCCTCCACATCCCTCTCTTTCCCACGTCTCCGTCCCTCCACATCAGGTTTTGTACAAACTTGTCCAATTCAAGGTTCGTATCGTAACAGAAGACGTGACCAGTAAAAACTCGCTGAAATCAAACCGACAAAGAAAACATGAGGGTTAATTCCCTCATGTTTTCTTTGTCGGTTTGATTTAAGCATGTTGAAATAAAATGCACAGATAAACAATGCGGTAAAATAAAGGTTTAACGTTTACGTTTGGATCATAAACTACAACTAAACTAAACTGTAGTTGATGTACGTCTCTGTTTCCCTCCCTCTGCCTGGTCCCAGGTGTGCACGGAGAAGTGGCCTGGTAAAAGCACCGATGGCACCGTCTACAGCATCGCCATGCTGATTCTGCAGTACTTCCTGCCGTTGTCCATCATCTCCTTCGCCTATGCCCGCATCTGGTCCAAACTGCGCGGCCATGTCAGCCCAGCAGAGAGCGTTGGCAACAGCGGCGCAGGCTCCGAGCGTCACCGCCGGCGCCGCAAGACCACCAAGATGCTGGTAACCATGGTGGTGGTGTTTGCCGTCAGCTGGCTGCCCTTCCACGCCTTCCAGCTGGCCACAGACATCGACAGCACAGTGCTGGACATGCGCGACTTCCACCTGCTTTACACTATCTTCCACGTGGTTGCCATGTGCTCCACCTTCGCCAACCCGCTGCTGTATGGCTGGATGAACCGCAACTACCGCGCTGCCTTCCTCGCCGTCTTCAAGTGTGCCAGGGGAGGGGAGAAGGGGAGGGGTGGCCGGCTGGACAGCATCCACCCCACTGGTGGAGGAGGAGGGAGAGCAAAGAAGATAGTGCTGGAAACCCAGGATGTGGTGTCCACCTGCCTGAACGCCACTGACGTTTGAGAACCTGAGGGCGGTGGAAATGGGAGGTGGGGGGTTGGAGGAGATGAGGAGAGGAAGGAAAAGAAATCAAGTGAGGAAATCTTCTGTTCCCCAGAAGACAACAACAGAAACCAGACAGAAACAGAGGGGAGGGAAAGCTGCAGGGAGAAAATGGAAACGACGGGGAGACCAGCAGGGGAGGGGGGTTAAAGGGTGCCTGGAAGGCAGACAATAGGCGAGGAGGCGTGCATGAGCTGGGATTAGAAGAAGAGCCGCTGAATGACTCGAGGCCTCGAGTACTGCTGCTCTGAGGATGTGACCACATCCTGATGGAGGACTGTTCAGCTAACGTGACCCTAGAGGTGAGACGTCAGCGTTTCATGTGAAGCTTTGTCATTGTTTCCTCGACGCTGACAAAAAGTGTAAACACAAACTTTGTCAGAACAGGTGAGGCACATTTAGCTTGTATGTTGACAACAGGGCAGCGTCTGAGGCGGGTGGCATGGGCCGAACCCGTGACTTTCAGCAGCAGCAGCTGGTTGTCCACGTTTCCTGAAGTCAGAGGCCGCTGGGCCCGGTTCAGAGCCGAGGAGGAGCTCTGTGAAACCTCAATGTTACATAATGAAAATGTGCTTTAGTCTGATTCAGATTATACAGGAGAGACTTTGTTGTTCATTTCATTTTTAAAGATGAAGGACAGAGAGCAAAGGAGCAGAAGAGGAAGCAACGATGAGGATCAGTGGGAGGCGGGAAAAAGTGAAACGACCAGGCAGCAGAGACAAGATCCTCACTTAGCAGTGGACAGATGAGTCTAAAAGTAAAAAGCTAAGTGATGTGTTTCATCACTGAGTTTGCTTTTCTGTTCATTTTGACTGGTTAGACGCAAGGAGAATCCCAGTTCCACTAACTGGAGGAGAATCCCAGTTCCACTAACTGGAGGAGAATCCCAGTTCCACTAACTGGAGGAGAATCGGAGAATCCCAGTTCCACTAACAGTTCCACTAACTGGAGGAGAATCCCAGTTCCACTAACTGGAGGAGAATCCCAGTTCCACTAACCTCATACACGTTTCCTTCACTTGTCTTTTCCTTGTGTCTTGGTCCCGCCCACCTAGGATGCACCGACAAACCGCTAGGGGAGAGGAACCAAGGAAACACATTTTAACTGTCATGTGACACCCGTTCCTCCTCGTCATGTGAAGTGTCCAATCACAAACTGATTTCCAATAAAGGGGCGTGTCACTCATGGTGAGACCATGTAACTGATCAACTATCAGCTACCTAGACTGGCCATCGTAGCGATCCACTGCTAGCAATGTTAGCGTTGTAGCTAAGGTGGCGTCATTTAGCACAGCGCCCCTGGAGGTTTGGAGGGGGAGGTACTGTGCTGACCAGTGTGTGAGGCCCTTGTCTTATTACCAGAAAGTGGGACCCAGCTGACATTGGTCAGGTGTGATTGATGTGATTTCCACCTCCACCCATGTGTTTGGGCTTCGCCATGCACACCACCCACAACACCCACCCCACATCAGGCTCCTTCCAAGCTTCCCCCACCGCGGAGCTGCTACCTGTGGCTGGTGTGTGATGATTTCCAGGACAAGTCATGTAAAATATCGGATTCTCATTGAGCCCACTTGCTGCCCTCTGGGTGTATTTCCTACCAACATGACATCATCGCTGCCGTGGGGCGAAGTCTCCTCCCACAGATTGTTGCCTTTTCTCACATACACAGTAAAACCCTGCAGCTAATAGCTCTGTGCACATTAGATTCATTGTTCAGAAAAGTTATTACCAAAAGTCGTTTTCTGTATGTTTAAACTTGAATTGCCTGACTGTCGTTACAGCTCTGTTTCCTGTGACAGCGAATTCAACTTGATGTAAACAAGCTGAATAATCTGCTCGGTGTGAATGTACAGAACAGCAGTTACCAGTTTTAACCAGTAAATAAACTAACAGATAGAAAACTAAAGCTGTCATCCTGTTGTAATAAGGGGGAATCCTTCATTGTCCTGGTTTTAACCTCTGTGTCCCTCAGTCTGCAGATCCTCTTCATGTCTGAGCTCTGCTTCCTTGCACCGAGCTTTAGCAGCAGGTGTCTCCTCTCCACTGTCCTTCACTGTAAACATGCCTGAAAAGGGTCAAAGCGCTGTCTTCCTCCAAGGACGGACAGATAAGAATGTCTTTTACTGAACGCAGTCACAAACACTCTTGGTGGTAACGACCAGTTAAAGGATTTCTAGTCAGGTTTTGGAGCTGGGTCCATGCAGCAGCTGCAGGTGTGAACCGGCTCAGTCATCCTCCATCAGCCCGGTACACCTCACTGTGACCCACAGACACGGGTTATAAATCCTATTTGGTTATTCATTCTAAGATTTTCCAATGAGGACTTTTGAATTTGAGCTAAAAGCCCAGAACCTGAGCCCTGGGGAGGTTTTACTTTCATCTGTGAGTGTAGTCATTACCAGGAGGAGACCACACAGAGAAGTGGGGACATTTAGGAAACAGACACCTCGTCTGATAACAAGTACCTCGTTTTTAAGCCCATCAAAGTTCAGTTGAATTCAATACATTGTTTATCATGTCAACGCAGCTGATGAGGATTTTAGTGTTTAGCACGTAAAACAAAGTATAAAGCTACAATGACGCCATTAAACCACACCAGCTGTTAGAAACTGTCTGCCATTAAAAACCTATAGAACATTTCAAAATTTAAGAGTTAGAAAGGGAACGGCCTCTGGTTCCTGCCCCCGGTAGTCCTGGTTCCTGGTTCCTTGCCCCTGGTGTAGTCCTGGTTCCTGGTTCCTGCCCCTGGTGTAGTCCTGGTTCCTAGTTCCTCGCCCCGGTAGTCCTGGTTCTTGGTTCCTGTCCCCGGTAGTCTTGGTTCCTGCCCCTGGTGTAGTCCTGGTTCCTGCCCCTGGTAGTCCTGGTTCCTGCCCCCGGTAGCCCGGGTTCCTGTTTCCTGCCCCCGGTGGTCCGGGTTCCTAGTCCTGGTTCCTTGCCCCTGGTGTAGTCCTGGTTCCTGCCCCTGGTGTAGTCCTGGTTCCTGGTTCCTGTCCCCGGTAGTCCTCTAAGAGACGGGGGCCTGTAGACTCAGGTGTTGTGGAGCGTTTCTTCTCGGTGTACTGTCAGAGTGATGTCAGGTCCAGTTTATCAGCTCCTTCCTGTTATAAGCATATGAAGAAGAGTGGAAAAGGGATTCTGGCAAGTCAGTGAGACACGGAGACGACCAGTGACCAGTCTCCCACAGAAATCCCCTGAGCTGTACAGGAAGCATGTGCCTACATCCTTATGTTTTAGGTGCCAGCTCATGAAACAAATACATTTATGTTGTGCTAAAAGCTTCAGTGTGTTGTTGCCACCAGGACAAAGGTTTTTCATGTTGAGATACGTTTTATTATCACTATTTTTACCACTTTATCTGGTTAGATGACAAAATGTTCTGAGTATTTCTCTGAAGAATCGTTCACACAGAATTTAGCAGCTACCCGATGCAGAGTTAGAACAGTTGTCAGAGAAGTGGACCTGGACCTGAACCAGGGAAGCCCACACCAGACCGACGGTGAACTGCAGGATGTGGACAGCTGAGTGAAAACTAGATTCACAGGAGGAAAATGTCTTAATTACTTCTGTAATGGGGAAGTTCTGATTTGCAAGTTGCCATGGTAACCACTTTATCTCGCTATCCTCTCAAACGTCCTAAGAGGTGTGTGTGTGTGTGTGTGTGTGTGTGTGTGTGTGTCCCACTGCTGTCTGCACACATTACACAGGACTGTGTCTGTGTGAGAGGCGGTGGGAGGAAGAGACACCTGCAACCTATAAAACTCCTTTAGAGGAGCTATGATCGGTGAGCGTTCACTTCCTGGTTACTGCCGGTAACAAGAGAGGAGCCGGTGAAACCACAGATCTTCAGTCATTCGCTCATCCTCCTGGACGTACTGGTGCATGTGACCCACAGAGGTGGTGGCCAGAGACTGACTGGACCCTAATAAAACAAGAGGTACCAGCCTGTGCCACACAGCTGACTGATAACAAGCTGTAACCAGACTCCAGTGTTTGTTCAGTCAACAGTATCAATTACAGGACGGAAACAATTCCCAGTATGCATTGACACCAACCAATAGAGCCCAGCTGGCGCTTGCACATCTCTCTCACCCCATCCTCACCGCCCTCAGCACAGGCACCACTGACTGACTGAGTGCTGAGATCTGTGGAGAAAATCCCCGGGGCCTCACATCCACCCACCGAGGACCCGGCCTACAAACGTACCTTGTCGAAGGCCGAGCCCTCAGCACTGGCACTGGCTGCTACCTGCTGGAAGGAGGTATCGGGCCGGTTCTGCAGAGGTTTCCTCCCCACTGACTGTAGAACAGGGCAGAGCTGTTGGAATGTGTGTGTAACAATGACTGGAATTGTTTTTAATCAGTTGATCTCTTTAACACAGCCTTACTATTTATTAAATTCTGGTTTTAATTCCTCATTCTGATGTGCAGACTTGCTCTGTGACGCCAGGTCATGCTGCGTTGGCCTGCTGGCAAACAGCTGAGTGACAGTAACGTGAGTCTTGAAGCTGTCGGTCAGTCGTCTGAGGTTCAGTGTGGCCGTTTTGTCATTACAGATTCTGGCCTGACTTTTGTTGCTTCCTGTGTTTGAACTGCGGCTAAAGCACATCTGACCAAACAGCGTCATCCTCAGCTGGAGGGGCTGCTCTTTGCTCTAACAGGAGGAGACAGCGCTGTGGTTTAGGGCTTCATCTGTCCCGGGCCCCGGGCCCCTGCTGTTCAGCTGATTGTTTAATGGGAGGATTTTGTTTGTGACGTTCTCCCTGCGAGGCCCAGATGGTGATGGCGCCAGAGGATTCACTTTTGACCTCCTCCTCCATGGGTACTGTTAACTCGATGAGGCCTGCTCCTCCCAGCAGGTTTCACAGCCACGACCAGGCCCCGCTCTCACTCCAGTACAAGTTCCTGGTTTCAAACTCTTCACCTCCCTGGAGAAAAGCACTTTGTGCTTGAGGAAGTTGATTTGAGCAGTTTACTGCTCTTTTAGCACATTAACTCCAGAGCTTTTGTTGCTGACCAGGTGTTATTTCATTTGATTTTGCTATGAAAATCATCTTTAAGGTAAAACAATCAGACTGTGTCCACTGGGCTGAAACCTGCAGACATGTTGACAGAGTTCCAGCTGAAACAGGATCGTGGCACCAGAGCTGTACAGACTGGCTCATCAGCTTGAGCTGCACACAGACACACACGGGGTTATGGCCTGGTCAGGTGTTTCTCCATGTGTTCCCTGTTGTCGCTGCTACAACGTGTGTCTGGCTTTTTATCCTAGAGCTACTGGTTGGACGTGGCGACAGAGTTGTCAGCCTGTGTCCGTCGGCTCAGTAGCGCGAGCTTGTCCTTCATGTGTTGCAGCAAAGACAAAGCAAACGTTCCACAGAGTGTAGTTGGTGTGCGAGAGCGGCCCTCAGGTTCATTCACACTCAGTTCTTTAAAACGTGACGATCCTGTGGTGGCGTCCTGAGCCGCTCCAGTGCTGCCAGCCGTGGTAAACGAATACAAACACACAGATTCATCCAGACACATGTCAAGGTGTCTGACAGTCCTGAGCTTTCAGGTCTCTCCTGTGAGCTCATCCTGGTTCTGCAGTTTGATGTAGGAAAAGTCAAACAAGTAGCTGTGTGAAGAATAAAAACCACAGCTTGAGAAGGAAGTTGGTCCAAAACACTTCTCCACTTGGTTTTAATCGCTCTGAGACCTTACACATCAGCACGTTGACGCTGTTCTGCCAAACAGAAGTTGGTCCAAAACACTTCTCCACTGTTTTAATCGCTCTGAGACCTTACACGTCAGCACGTTGACGCTGTTCTGCCAAACCCGCTTTGTGTCTCTTTGTAGTCGTTTGTTTGACTTTCCAACAGGAAACACTGTCACTCCATAGGGTGCTCTGGCCCAGGGGCCCCCCGGC